CCCCCGGAGAAGGCGACGCATGGACGCGTCTCGCCAAGTCAAACCACTCCGCACGGCGCTCGCCGCGCTCCTCGCGGCGCTGCCCTTCTCGGCAGGCGCCGCCGAGATCCAGCTCCCGACCTGGGTCGAGCCGACCGAAGGTCCCGACTCGGTCGCCGCGGCGTTCGACAAGCCGATCGACACGCGGCCACGCACCGAAGCGCCGCGGCCGATGCCCGGCGTGCCCGTCGCGTCGCCGATCCCGCGTCCCGAGCCGACCGACCTCGGGCAGTTGCTGGCGATGCCGACCGAATCCGACGAGGACGACCCGCTACGGAACGTCACGAGCGACGGAATCGGCGTGGTCGTGACCGACGAGTTGAAGTGGGAGCTTCGTCGCCTCGAGTTCGCGGCAGAAGAAGCCCGCACCGAGCACGCCTTGTCGCGTTTGCTTCATCGATACAAGTCGATACGAACGCGGCACGACGATGCGACGGAAACCGAAGTCCACGAGAAAATGGATCGCGTCGCGAGTTGGGCGCTCGACGCGCGAGGCCGCTTGCGCGCCTCGGGCGGCGACGCGAGCGCGGCAGAGGCCGACTTTCGGCTCGCTCTCAAACTAAACCCGGAAAACCACGCGGCGCGGCATGACCTGGCGGTGTCGCTCGCCGAAGCGGGCGACGACGAGGCGGCGCTGCGCGAGCTGACCGTGTTGCTCGAAGCCAAGCCCGACGACGTGGCGGCGCGACGCAATCGCGCGACGATGCGGCTCCGGCTCGGCAAGGTCGAGGAGGCGATCGCCGACTGTGACGTCGCCATCGAAGCCGCCGGCGACGACGCGACCGAGCTTGCTTCGCTCTACGGCCTGCGCGGGCTGGCGCTGCACACGGCCGGGCGACTGCGCGCGGCGGCGCTGGATCTCAACGAGTCGATCCGGCTGGCGCCGGAGATCGCCTCAACCTACACGGCCCGGGGCCACGTCTTCGCCGAGGGCGGGCTCTACGATCAGGCGATCGCGGACTACGCGGCCGCGTTGCAAGCCGACCCCGCGTCAATCGAGGCGTACCGCTGCCTCGCCTGGGCGTTGGCGACTTGCCCAGACGAGTCGCTGCGTAACCCGTCGACGGCCGTCGAAGCGGCTCGCCGCGCCCGCCGGTTGAGCCACCGCGACGACCCGCTGGTGCTCGACGCCAGCGCGGCGGCGCACGCCTCCGCCGGCGACTTCGACGACGCGGTTCGCTTCCAGCAACGCGTCGTGCTCACCGCCGGCGAATCGGCGCCCGACGGCGCCAACGAGCGCCTGCTCCTCTACAAGGCGGGCCGGCCTTACGTGGCGGCCCGTCGCACGCTCGATCGCTAGCAGCGCGGCAAGATCGGCAATCTGTGCCGGCAATGCCGATTTCTTTGACGGTTTTGGTTAGGCCGGTCGTGACGATCGGACGAAGTTACCCCTGTCCCCAGGACCGTTCTGCGGCCGGGGTCGGTCCGTTGTGCAACCGTGGCAAGGACTCGCCGCTATGCGACGCTTCGCTCAATCCACCTGTCTGGCCGCCTTGATCGGCGTTACCTCGATCTCCGCCGCCGCGGAGATCGCCGGGGTCGCCTTCGTCGGCGACGTCGACTCGCTCGACAAAGCGGTCATCGAAGCCGCTCAGCTCCCGCTGCCGCAAGTCGGGCAAGGGACGGCTCAGCCGAAGGCGCCGAGCCACGTCCAACGGAGCCCGAGCAACGTGGCGCCGGCCGGCTTCTCGATGCCTGCCGCGGCGCCGAAGGTTGCCGAGCCGGAGCAACGCAAGTCGTTCTTCTCGCGTCTGAAGCCCAAGTGGCCGTTCGGCAAGAAGGACGAGGCGAAGCAGCCGGCGACCGATCCGTTCGCTGCCGCGGCCGCAAAGGGCCTTCCTTCGTCCCGCCCCACCCAGGGCGCCGTGCCGATCGCGACGCGAGCGACGACAGGCGACGTCGAGCAGGTGGCCTACCGCCGTGCGTTGTTTGACTCGGCGAAGCAGCCGACCGACCCTCGCTCCGCCGCCCCGCGCAAGCCGTCCCAGCCGGGCCGCAGCGCGTTGACGCGAACCAACCCGCAAGCCAAGCCGCAAGGCATCTTCTCGACCCTCTGGGGGAAGACGCCGGAGAACTTCGGCGCGAACGCTCAGCCGGCTGCGAAGCAATCCACCGCCCCCAGCCGGTCACCTTCCAAGCCCACGGGTTTTGCCAACCAACGCCGCAAGCCGCAGCGCGTCGTGAACAACGCCTACGCGCAGCAGCAGCAAGGCGCTCAGCGTTCGGCGAAGCCGCAGCGTCCGGCCGCGCCCGAAGCCAAGCCGGCGCCAAGTCTCTTGCTTAGCGAGGCGCCCGTCCCGCACCCGCTGGCCTTGCCGGCTGAAGTGATCGAGCCGGTCGGCGAGGCGTTCGTGATCAACGACAAGATGGACGAGCCCGCCGTCGTGACGCCGGCGTTCGTCTCCGACGCCGAATCGCCGAAGGAGCCGGCTGTCGAAGCGTACCCCGAATCCGACGCGGTCGTGGAAGCGGCTCCGCAGAAGGAGGCCGATCCCGTCGTCGAGTCGTTCGAATCGCCCCTTGCTACCGAGCCCACTGCCGAACCAGTCCTTGTCGCCGACACGGCCGAGCCCACTCCGGTGACGCTGCCGCCGGTGACGGAGATCGAACCGTCGATGCTCGAAGAAGAGCCCGAGGGCGACGCCCTGGTCGCTTCGGACCTCGACCAGCTCGTCGCCGAGCCGCGATCCGGGCGGGACGAACCGTCCGAGCGGGCCCGCGCTCTGCTGGCCGAGGCCCACGGCTTCGCCCAGACGGCGGGGAGCTACGAGGACTTCTCGGCGATCGTCAAGCGTTGCCGCTACGTGCTGGCGATCGACAGCTCGAAGCAAGCGACCGAGTACGCCCATCAGCTTGCCGGCTGGGCGCTGACCGAACGCGGCGAAGCGCTCGACGAGTCGGGCCGCGGCGCCGAGGCGAAGATCGACTACCGCGAGGCCTTGCGGTGCAACGCCGAGTGCTGGCGTGCCGAGCACAACTTGGGCGTGCTGGCCGCTCGCGACGGCGACCGCGACGAAGCCCTCCAGCGCTTCAACCGCACGATCGACGTGAACCCCGAGTACGCGATGGCGTACGCCAACCGCGCCGCTCTGTCGGTGCAGTCCGGCGACTACCGCGCCGCGATGGACGACTACCAACGGGCGATCGACATCGACCCCGACTTGGCGATGGCTCACTCCGGCCGCGGCCGCGTGTGCCACATGCTGGGCCGCCTCGACGAGGGGCTCCGCCACCTCGACGCGGCTGAAATCCTCGATCCTGAGAGCGCCACGATCGCCGGCGGTCGCGCCGACCTGCTGGTCGACCTCGGCCGCTACGGCCAGGCGAAGGAAGCTTATGAGCGGGCGATCGAACTCGACCCGCACTCGCCGTCGGCGTACCGCAACTTGGCCTGGATGCAGGCGACCTGCCCGGTCGATGCGTTCCGCAATGGCGACCTCGCGCTCGCCAACGCCGCCAAAGCGGAGGAGCTGGCCGGGCGTCCCGACGACTTGACGCTCGACACGAAGGCGGCCGCGCTCGCCGCGGTCGGTCGCTTCGGCGAGGCGAGCACCGTACAGCAGGAGGCGATCGCCATGGCGCCCGCCGCCGACGCCGCGGCCTACCGCGAGCGGCTTGCTCTCTACGAGCTGGGCGAGTCGTTCACGAGCCACCCGGTCGCGACGGTCCAGCAGACCGCCTACTCGGCCGACCCCAGCCGCACGAACCGCTGACCCGACGAGACTCTTCCGTCGGATCCTGAGACACCGGGCCAAAGGGCCCACGAAGGGGGGGAAGCGAAGGCCCGGTCGCCGCAAGGCGGCCGGGCCTTTCGTTTGTGTTGGTCCCCAAGGCTCCGGCGACACGCGACCGTCGGTCAGAACGAGCGGTTGCCGGTCACCAGCGCGGCGTACGTGGCGCCGAGCAGGGTCAGCAGGCCGATGGCGACGACCGTCGGCGAGTCGTAAGCCAAACCGGCGACCGCGACGACAATCCCGGCGACTCCGCCGTGACGCACCAACGAGGCGGTCTTGCCTTGCAGATGGAGTTGCATGACGAGGGCCCTCCGCGGCCACGCTCGATGACCTCTTCTCGGAAGAGCATGGCGCCCGCCGCCACGCCCCGCGTGGCCCACACCTCTAGTCTACCACCCGCCGGCCCCGAAGTCCCGCGCGGGGTCCGCGACTCTATGCCGCGGCGAGCGGCCGTCGCTCTGGCGCTGCGGCGTGCTCGACGAGGCTGGCCAACTCACTGAACGGGTCGTCGTCGGTCTCGACGCCGGCGAGCAGGTCGATGACCAAGTCGCAGAGCCGCTCCGCCGCCGCCTCACTTCCGCTGGCCACTTCGTCGAGGTAGAGGTCCTCGATGTTCCAAGCGGAGAACGCGCGTTCCTCGCTGTCGCTACGGGCCCGAATCGTCAGGCCCGCTTCGGGGGCCTCGGCTTGGATCCGCTCGACGAGTTGGTTGAGCGAGCCGCGCTGGCCTTCGAGGAGCATCACTTGTTGCTCGCCGAGGCAGAGCAACTTGCCGCTGACGCCGCTCTGGGCGTTGCGACTCGGGAAGTCGTGGCAGACCTCCAGCACGTCGTGCGGGGCGTTGGTCGGATTCGGGCTGCTGAGGCAAACGACGCGGTGAAAGGACATGGTGCTGCTCGTTGGACGATTTGGCCGGAGTGGACGTTTTGAACGAATCTACTCAAGCCTATGTCACGCTTCGCGAAGCGCCGGTCCTATCTGGTTGTTCTGATATTAGCCGTCTTGAGGCTCGTCAACCGGCCGTTTCGGCTAGGGTTTTGTCGGGGGCGCCCGAAACGGTCACCCCCGACAGAACCCCTTTTTTTCACGTCGTAAGTCCTTATCCACGATTCGTTTAGAGTTTTGTCGCCCCCTGTTTCGGCGGCCTTCCCTGCGGTGAACCGCCGCGTCCGGCGTCGCCAGCCTATTATCGCGCCGGCAGCCCAGGGCCCTCAGCCCGAAAGTCGGTCACGCGCCGCTCGCGACTGCTCGTCGACGGCGTCCGCGGGCCGCCGCCGCCAGGCCGATCGCGGCCAGCACGCCGCCGCTTGGTTCGGGGGTCGTCTGGACCCAGTCGCCGAGCACGGAGACCGAGCCGTGGCCGGTGATCGAGTCGCTCCATTTGAAACGCAGCTCGTCCATGCCGGCGGCGTTGCGGTAGCCGACCCGGAAGATGGGATAGACCGGCACGTCGACGATCGTCGAGTCGGCCGGGTTCTCGTCGAAGATCGCCGGGAGCATCCACGGCTCGCCGTCGTCGGTCGGGCCGAGGCCCCCCATCCCGTCGTCGTAGGCCAGGCTGATCGCCGTGTTCTCGAGCGGCTTGGGGTAGACGTCGCCGAAGCCAAACAGCGCCTGCCCCTTGGGCGTGAATCGCAGCTCGACGACTTCGTCCTGAGAGGCAGGCAGTTCCGTCAGCCACAAGTGGGCGATCGTGTCGCCGGTCCCGGTCTCGACGAAGTCGTAGAACCGACCGGCGTGAGCGGCGGTCGCGCAGACCGTCGCCGCGGCCGCCAAGAAGAAGGTGCGGAGCATCGTGAGCCTCGTTCGTTTTGAAAGTCCTGTTCCGCGGGGGCGGGTCGCCTCCGTAGAAGGCTCATCCAGAACGAACGCCGCGGGCCGACAGGGTCGCCGCCGCGACTTCCCAAGAGCCGATTCAGCCGGCGCCGTTCTTCTGTGGGAGATGTGCTTCTATGGGAGGCGTACCTGTTGTGGGAGGCGTCTCCGACGCCGATAACGTGCAGCTAGCCGCAACGGCTGGTCCTACCGTTATCGGTGTCAGAGACACCTCCCACATCAATGTCGAGAAGGCCCAACGCGTTCGGTTCCCACGACGAAGAAAGCCCCGGAGGGGCGAAAGCGCGTAGCCGGGGGCGCGAGCCCCCGGTCGATGGCGACCGCGCCAAGGCAAGAGCCCCGGAGGGGCGACAGCAACCGGCGTGCGGAAGCGCTGTCGCCCCTCCGGGGCTTGGTGTTGTGCGACGTCGGATTCCGGGGGCTGGCGCCCCCGGCTACGCGCTGTCGCCCCTGCCGGGGCTGGCGACGCCGGGGGCGTCGCTCGGGTTGGCCTCAACGAAAGTCTTCGGGGCGCCAGCCGTTGTAGGCTTCTTCGTACCAGGCGTCGCGGCGGCGTTGGGCGTTTTGCTCGGCGCGGCTGATGCCCGAGTAGGTGATCGGGTTGTAACTCCGCCGGACCGAGCTGGGCCACACCGGGTCGGTCGACGAGCGGGCGTAGACGGTGCGGCTCGGGGCGTTGTAGCTGCGGGTCCAGCGCTGCGTGCTCCAGCGCGATTGGCGCCAACCGCGGCGGGCCTCGGCGTCGGCGGCGGCGAGCAGTGTCATCGAGCCGAGCAGGGCGGCGACGGTCAACAGGCGGCGAGTGGACATCGGCTTGCTTCCCCTGAGTGAGCGGACGAGTGCGGCGTCGAGAAGGGCGCGGCCCGCGGGCCTCCCTCCCTTCTTAGCGTGCCCGGGGGCCGAGTGTTTCGCGATTCGGGGGCGGAATCGGGAAAAAAGGGCCGGCTGGGCGCTACCCAAGCATGCCCACGCGAGCGTGGACATGGCGCCCGGCTCTCTAGCAATCGGGGTGGCTGGGGACGCAGCGAAGCGAAGCCCCCAGCGAACCCGGAGTCCGGCGTCCTCTTGCTAAACGCTGGGGGCTACGCCTCCGGCTCCGTCCCCAGCCACCCGCCGGGAAGCATTCCCACGCGAGTGCGGGTATGGCGTTTGGCGTTACGTTTCTGGGCCCGCAGCCCAGCTGGCGAACGATGCTCTCGCCTTGCCGTCGACGCGCTCGATCCCCCGGGCCGCACACCACGGACGAATTGTGCCCGGTCGAACATGAGCTCTCCACACGGCTGAGCCCGATGCATAAACGCTCTTCTCGGACTCGAGTGCGGCATGGAGCCATGCCTCGAAGGTGTCAGGCATAGACTCCCCGTCGTCAAAGTCACGAACGCACTGTGCGTAGGTGTCATGCGTGTACCACGGCATGCCGACTAGAACCGAAGCGGCACGGTTAATGCATCCAACACTATGCTTCTGCAAGAAATCGAAAAACTCGTCACATGCAACCTCGACATCGTCGAAGCACTTCGCGAGTTCGGGGAAACGGTCGATGATCGCCATGATCAGTGAGATGACCCGAGTTCCAGCCAGACAGTGTTCCTTTGCATGGTACGTGTGGCCGATTGCCGCAAGCCGGAGCGGTTGATCGCTAGCGCGTTGCGCAACCGTCGGTGGCCATGAAAAGACTGCGCCTCCGCTTATTCCCTCAGGATGACCCGCGGCCCTTCGCCCTCCATAGCGAGTGCTGTAGGTCTTACGCCTGCGTACGCGAACGAGCACGTGTGCAACAGGTGAGTACCCGAGAGTCTCAAACACATCTGGAGCGTAGAGATGGCCCGTATATGTCGTGCGGTCGCCGGCAAACCCTTCCTCTGTTTGATCTGTCAGCCGCCATGGGTAACCCGCGAAGGTGTGCAACGCGCCCGGTGGGTCGTTGTCAGTGAGCAGCAACGCCTGCTTGCCAAGCGGTTTTGCGTCTTTGTGGAGCATCTCTTTCCAAGCGCTGTCGAGTCGCAGGTAAGCGATGTCAACCTTATCCTCTTCGCGATTCCCACCCGGCGGTAAGGGTGTGTATCCCAGGTCGCCTCCGATTGAGCGGATATGATCGGCCGCGGGCATCAGCAGGTGCGATCCACCCTGCCATTCATCAACGACGTGCGCGGCCGTAAGAAGGAAGAGCTCATCTCCTAGTGCGAGTAAGACTGCGGACGCCACTTGTTTCATTGGTCCGTCATCTTCCTGGCAGAAGATAGGAACCACGGCATCTAAGCCGTCGCGAGCGGCCATCACGCCTTCGAAGTCGGGGACCTGACTACAGCGATTCGCGAAGTTACCTACGAAGTCTGGGTCGACACCGACTTCGTCGCATGCTTCGTACAGCGATGCCCCGGTACCCAAGGCTTCCTCGACTTCGGCGAGTACAGCTAGGCACTGTTCCAAGTAGTTGCTGCTCGCTGTCATCGTTTACACAGCATGTCAGGTGGCCGGTGTCGGAGACGAAGCCATCGCTCCCCGGTAATTAGCAAGTAGATGTCGCGTTGGCGATTCACCGGGGGCGCCGCTTCGCAGCGTCCCCGGCCACCCAGGTGGCTGGTCAACCTACTGAAAAAACGAAAACGCCGCGAATGGGTGGAAACACCCAATCGCGGCGTGGTGTCGTTTGGTCGCTCCCTGACGGTCGCGGCTCGGCGTCCGTCGCTAGCGCCTAGCGCCTGACAACTAGCGCCTCGTTCGTCACCCCATGTGCTTCACGATCGCCGCGCCGAACTCGCTGCACTTCACCAGCGTCGCGCCGTCCATCAGGCGCTCGAAGTCGTAGGTGACCGTCTTCGCGCCGATCGCGCCGTTCAGGCCCTTCACGATCAGGTCGGCCGCCTCGGTCCAGCCGAGGTGACGCAGCATCATCTCGCCCGACAGGATCACGCTGCCTGGGTTCACCTTGTCCTGGCCGGCGTACTTGGGCGCCGTGCCGTGAGTCGCCTCGAAGATGGCGTGGCCGGTGACGTAGTTGATGTTGCCGCCGGGGGCGATGCCGATGCCGCCGACGCACGCGGCCAGGGCGTCGCTGATGTAGTCGCCGTTGAGGTTCAGCGTGGCGATCACGCTGTACTCGGCCGGGCGGGTGAGGATCTGCTGGAGCATCGCGTCGGCGATGACGTCCTTGACGACGATGTCCTGCTTGGCGCCGTGCTGCCCCTTCTTGATGACGTGCCAGGGGCCGCCGTCGAGCGGCTCGGCGTCGAACGCTTGGGCGGCAAGCTCGTAGCCCCAGTCGCGGAAGGCGCCCTCGGTGAACTTCATGATGTTCCCCTTGTGGACAAGGGTGACCGAGTCGCGGTCGTTGTCGATCGCGTACTGGATGGCTGAGTGGACGAGCCGCTGAGTGCCCTGCTTGCTCACCGGCTTGATGCCGATGCCGCACTCGAGGCTCGGGTCGGCGCCGTGGCCGACCGCCTCGCGCCAGGCGGCCGCCTTGTCGGCCGTGCCGAAGCGGATCTTGGCGAAGCGCTCGGGGAAATCGGACTCGAGGAAGTCGAGCACCTTCTTCGCCTCGTCGGTGCCGCCGGCGAACTCGACGCCGGCGTAGATGTCCTCGGTGTTCTCACGGAAGATGACCATGTCGGTCAGCTCCGGCCGCGTGACCGGCGACGGGACACCGGTGAAGTACTGCACCGGGCGCAAACACGTGTAGAGGTCGAGGATCTGCCGGAGGGCGACGTTGATCGAGCGGATGCCGCCGCCGACGGGCGTGGTGAGCGGGCCCTTGATGCCGACCAGGTGCTTGCGGAACGAGTCGAGCGTCGCCTCGGGGAGCCACTCGCCCGTCTGGTCGAACGCCTTCTGGCCGGCGAGGACCTCGGTCCAGGCGATCTTCTTCGCGCCGCCGTACGCCTTCTCGACCGCGGCGTCCAAGACCAGCTGCGAAGCGGCCCAGATGTCGGGCCCGGTGCCGTCGCCCTCGATGAACGGGATGATCGGCTCGTCCGGCACGGAGAGCTTGCCGTCGGTCATCGTGATGGGGGCGCCGGACATGAGATACGTCTCCTGAGAATGGGCTGGGGCTGGAGGCCGTCGGTTGGAGGGTTTCGAGGGCCGCTCCGCCCCGCTTCGACCGCTGATTTGTTCGGGAAGCCCGCGATTCTCGGCAGGGGCCGAGGGGGGGTCAATGGCCGCGACGCGACGGGGCGGCAAGTTGCATCGCGCCGCGCGGCGGGCGAAGATAACGGGCTCGTCCTCGTTGACCGGCTGATCAACTCCATCGCGCCCTAGTAAGAGGTCTCCACCGATGCGTTCGGAACCGCGTCTGCTGCCCGCTTTGCCCCGCCGCCAGTTCTTGCAGACCGCCGCGGCGGGCGTGGCGGCCGCCTCGCTGCCCCGTTGGGCGATGGGAGGGTCGTCGGTGGCCCCGTTCAAGATCTCGCTGGCCGAGTGGTCGCTGCACAACACGTTCGGCCGCGACGGCAAGGACAACCTCGAGTTCCCGCGGATCGCCCGCGAGGACTTCGGCATCGAGGCGGTGGAGTACGTCACGGCGTTCTTCGGCGACCACGCCAAGGACACCGCCTACCTGGGCGACCTGCTCCAGCGGTGCGCGGACCACGGCGTGAAGAGCCTGCTGATCATGGTCGACGGCGAGGGCGCCCTGGGCGACGCCGACGACGCCAAGCGGACCGAGGCGATCGAGAACCACCGCAAGTGGCTCGAAGCGGCACAGCTGCTGGGGTGCCACTCGATCCGGGTGAACGCCCAATCGCAGGGGAGTTACGCCGAGCAGCTAGCACTCGCCGCCGACGGCCTGGCCCGGCTGGGCGAGGTCGCCGACGAGTACGGGCTGAACGTCCTGGTCGAGAACCACGGCGGTCTGTCGAGCAACGGGGCGTGGCTCTCGGGCGTCATGCGTCGCGTGCATCGGTCGAACGTCGGCACGCTGCCCGACTTCGGGAACTTCCGGATGGGAAGCTGGGGCGACGAGGACGCCCCGTGGTACGACCGCTATCAAGGTGTCGAGGAGCTGATGCCGTTCGCCAAAGCGGTTTCGGCCAAGAGCCACGAGTTCGACGCCGAGGGCAACGAGGTCCGGACCGACTACGAGCGGATGATGAAAATCGTCTTGAACGCGGGCTACTCGGGCTATGTTGGCATCGAGTGGGAGGGCGGCGAGCCGGGCGAGCACGAAGGGATCCACCTGACGAAGGCGCTGCTGGAGCGCGTGCGGGACTCGGTGGGCTGATTGGGCCTCGGGGCCACGCCGCTAAGCCGTGAGCGGCTTGCCGGTTGGCGACCCGCGATTGAAACAGGGCCGTGTCCACCCGCCGGGTGGGCGCGGCTTTTTTCGTTGGAATCGCGTCGAATCCGGGGTTTTCGCTAAAGGGCGCGCGGCGTTTTCACGCTGGACACCCCGTCGGGCGGGACAGACTGGTCTGCCCAAGGTTTGGGCACGGCGGCCGTGCTCGATCGTCGGGCAGGGGCTGCCCGGCGTTAGGCACAGTGGGCGAATCGCTGTAACTGCTGGCGCCACCGGCGTCTCTCGGGGGGCGTTTGCCGGGGGCGAAGAATGCGGACGTGAACGTGGGGCTGGAGTTGGCCCCACGCCTCCCGCACGAATGGATGGAGACGAACCCCGTGCTCACCGAGACCCCGACCGCTACTCCTACGTCCACAACCCCCACCAGCCCCCAGTACCAGCAGTTGCTGCAGGTCGCCGAACGACTCGGCGAGAAGGCCCCCGACTGGGTCACGTTCTTCCGCGAGGTGCTCGGCATCGACGGCGTTGTCCGCCGCACCTTCCCGAACTTCGACGACCTCACCGAGTTCGAGCGGAGCGAGGAGTTCGCCGAGATCCAGAAGATCATGGTCCGCCTCCGCGAGAACAAGGCGACCGCCGACGCCGAGACCGAGCCGACCCGCGTGATCACGGTCCGGCTCCCGAAGAGCATGCACGAGTACCTGCGGACGGAGGCCCACGACCTCCGGACCAGCATGAACAAGCTCTGCATCTCCAAGCTGCTGCAGATGATCGAGCAGGAGATGATCCCGGCGGACAAGACGGCCCTGCCGAAGCGTCGCACGACGCCGGCGCCCGCGGCCTCGACCCCGTCGTTGACCGGCGCCAGCACGACGCCTCAGCCGACGCCCTCGCACCCGACGCCGGGCCACAGCGAGTCGCCCTTCAAGTCGAACGGCTTCTGAGCCGTCGGCGGAACAGTCCAAGAGCAAGAACCGAGCACGGGTTCTCCATCCGTCGCCGTCCCGGCCCCCGCGCCGGGGCGGCGGCTTTTCGATGAAAGCGGAGATGGGAAAGCGGAAAGCGGAAGGAAGCGCTGCCGCGGATAGTCAGTCGCGATAGCGCTTCCTTCCGCTTTCCCCTTTCCGCCTTCCGCTTTCAAGAATCCCCCGAGAGGACCTATAAGCCGGGTTTTGTTCCGCACCGCCCCTTCCGAAAAAGGGGCGCCGCGGCGACGACCATTCCTCTAGGGCGACGGTTGCCCGCCGCCTCGAGCGGCCCACCCGAGGGTCGTAGCGAGCCGGAACCAGCTCATGCCCTCTGTTTGGCCTTGCGTCGGGTGGGGTTTACCTAGCCGAGCGAGTCGCCCCGCCCGCTGGTGAGCTCTTACCTCACCGTTTCACCCTTGCCTGTGCGGGAAGGCTATCGGCTGTTGGCTCTTGGCCATCGGCTCCTTGCCGACAGCGAACAGCCGACAGCCGACAGCCCCCCCGCCATCGGCGGTCTGCTTTCTGCTGCACTTGCCCTAGCCTCACGGCCGGTGGGCGTTACCCACCACCCTGTCCTGCGACGCCCGGACTTTCCTCCCGCAGCCTCACGGCTGCCGGCGGTCGCCCGGTCCTCTCGGGGGAGGTCCCAGTCTACCAACTCGGGCCGCGTTCGGTGCGGGAACGTTCGCCGGGCCAGGGAAAGTCGGATAGGCTGCGCGGGACGGAGCGGTCAGCTTTCAGCGATCAGCGGTCAGCTCTTGCGGCGAGGCCGCTTCTTTCCTGGCTGACAGCTGATCGCTGAAGCTGAAAGCCCCGCGCCCCTTCGTTCGCCCCACTTAGGGCCACACGCCATGCCTCTCAACGACCAACAAGAGAAGCTCTGCACGCAGAGCACCTGGGACTTCTCTGACTTGAAGGCCCTGTTCCTCAACTGCACGCTGAAGAAGTCGCCCGAGAAGTCGCACACGCGCGGGCTGATCGACATCTCCACCGCGATCCTGGAGAAGAACGGCGTCGCGGTCGAGGTGCTCCGCCCCGTCGACCTCGACCTGGCCACCGGCGTCTACCCCGACATGACCGAGCGGGGCTGGGCCACCGACGAATGGCCCGCGCTCTACGAGAAGGTTAAGGCCGCCGACATCCTCGTGCTCGGCACTTCGATCTGGCTGGGCGAGAAGACGAGCGTCTGCACGCAGGTCATCGAACGCCTCTACGCCTGCAGCCACCTGCTCAACGAGCACGGCCAGTACGCCCCGCTTCCCCCAATGAAACGGCGGCAAGGTCGGCGGCTGCCTCATCACGGGCAACGAGGACGGCGCGAAGCACTGCGCGATGAACATCCTCTACTCGCTGCAGCACCTCGGGTACGTGATCCCGCCGCAGGCGGACGCGGCGTGGCTCGGCGAGGCGGGCCCGGGCCCGAGCTACCTCGACGCGGGCTCGGGCGGCCCGGAGAACGACTTCACGAACCGCAACACGACGTTCATGACGTGGAACCTGCTGCACCTGGCGCGGATGATGACAGACGCCGGCGGCCTCCCCGCCCACGGCAACCAACGCAGCGAGTGGGACGCGGGCTGCCGGTTTGACTTTGAGAACCCGGCGTATCGGTGAGTGTGGTCGAAATCGCGGGATGCCGGAGCCGACATGTGTTTCTTGGGTGATTTGCGGCCTAGTACGCAGACCTGTCGGGCGAGGATCGGAATGAGTTCGACCTCCGGCATTGAGCCGAACACAAGGCCAAGGCTGCCCTGTCTGCTAGGACTGCCCGACTATCGTGAAACTTCCGACCGTAGTGGAACTGCCGTGTGAACGACTTGACGGTGCGTGAGAACCCGAGAGGCCTCGTTGATGTGTGCGCCATAAGTCTTTTCATAATGGGGGCTTACGACTTGGCTGGCTTCGTTTGACGGCTTGCCCCGTAGAGCGTATGCTTCAGCATACGCTCTACGGGGCAAGCCATCGAAAACCGCGCAGAACCCCGTCAATTGCTCTAGTTGACTTTCCTACGCAGTCGATGAAGACTGCCGTTGTAAGACATCTGCTAAAAAAATAACCCCCTGCTAGTACGGGCTCCCTTTCATTGTGGAGTCTCCGAAACCAGGGGGTTTCTTTCTGCGCTCATGCCAACTGCCGTACTCGTCGATGGAGGCTTCTTCGTAAAGCGTCTCCGCCACTTACGAAAAGACAGCGTGTTAGCGTCAGACGCCGCAGATCACATCGTTCAGGCGTCGCGCAGTCATTTGAAGCTGCTTGGCTCTAAGCGAGGTAACCGGCAGCTCTACCGCATCTTCTACTACGATTGCCCGCCCCTCATGCATCGGGTGCAGAACCCAGTTTCTAGACGAGGGCTCGATCTTTCAAAGACAGATGTCGCCACATGGCGACTCCGCTTCCATGCGGAGTTGCGTCGTCGCCGCAAGGTCGCACTTCGGCTTGGCTATCTCAATCAAGATACCGCCCGTTGGATGCTTCGTGAGGACACACTCAAGAAGCTCCTGCGAAAGGACGTTTCTGTCGAAGACCTTTCTGACGCAGATGTCAAGCTTGACGCCGACCAGAAAGGTGTCGACATCAGGATCGGTATCGACATCGCGAGCATGGCGTTGAAGAAACAGGTCGATCAAATCGTCCTTGTCACAGGTGACAGTGACTTCGTACCTGCAGCGAAGCTGGCTAGACGCGAAGGCGTCGACGTCATCCTCGATCCGATGGGACAGAACGTCCGAGAGGATCTGTTTACGCACATCGATGGCTTGCACCAGTGGTTTGGTCGATTCGACCACAATGAAAGCTCCGACGCTTAGGCGATCCGTCGTGTGCCACTGGCGTATTCGCAAGTGTGATGTACCAAGATCGCGAGTGCCCAGTGCAGCACTGGCATCGCGCCGCACACCACATGGCCCAGCCCAGCGCCTAGCGAATGAACGGCGCGTGGGACCGTCAGGCCATCGCCCGTCCCGCGTCGGCCGTGACGGCGTCGGGGTTTGCGGCGAGCCAGAGCTGCCGCGCGCGGAGCAGGAACGCCTCGGCGTCGCCCTCTTCCAGACGGCGCTTCGGGATGATGTAGGCGTTCGACGCCGCGATGTACCAGAACGCGTGATCCTCGGTCTCCTCGAGGCTCAGCACGCCGGCCCACTTGTGCCGCGTCTCCGAGAACTCGCTCCGCCGGACGAAGGCGTCGTCTTCGAGCCACATCTCCTGCGGCCCGTAGAGGTCCTTGCCCCCCTCTTTCGCCATCGCCCTGGCGGCGTTGTCCGCGGCCCGCAGCGCCGCTCGTTTCGACGTGAACAAGCCGAGGATCAGCGCGCCGGCCGCGGCGATGAAGAGAACGGCCTGCGTCGTCGAGTCCTCGACCATCGCGGCGACGGCGACCAACATGCCGACGATGGCGGCTCTCGCCCGCCACCGGTTGGCGCGGAGCTGCCGGCGTAGGGCCGGGGAGTTCTCCATCGTGAACCGCTGCATCGCGATCACGTCGTCGACCGTCTGCTCGAACCGGATCCGCATCGCGACACACTTCTCGGCTAAGGGCGATACCCGCGTCTCCGAGAACTCGCTCCGCCGGACGAAGGCGTCGTCTTCGAGCCACATCTCCTGCGGCCCGTAGAGGTCCTTGCCCCCCTCTTTCGCCATCGCCCTGGCGGCGTTGTCCGCGGCCCGCAGCGCCGCTCGTTTCGACGTGAACAAGCCGAGGATCAGCGCGCCGGCCGCGGCGATGAAGAGAACGGCCTGCGTCGTCGAGTCCTCGACCATCGCGGCGACGGCGACCAACATGCCGACGATGGCGGCTCTCGCCCGCCACCGGTTGGCGCGGAGCTGCCGGCGTAGGGCCGGGGAGTTCTCCATCGTGAACCGCTGCATCGCGATCACGTCGTCGACCGTCTGCTCGAACCGGATCCGCATCGCGACACACTTCTCGGCTAAGGGCGATAGCCGAGAGCATCACCGAGTCATCATCTGTCGTCAACGTTCTTGAGAGAGACGTAGGGTGCGATGAAATCGCACCTCCCACCGTTCACCATATGACGAGATGCCTACGTCACGACGGGTGGCTGGAGACGGAGCCGAAGGCGTAGCCCCCAGCGTTTAGCGAGTGGACGCTGAGCCCGGGATTCGCTGGGGGCTGCGCTTCGCTGCGTCCCCAGCCACCCCATTTGCTGGCGCGGCGCCGCCTCAGATCTCCACGTGCATCACGCCGTCGACTTCGTCGAAGTGGCCGATCTTCAGCAGCTCGCCGGGGCGCTCCGGCATCTCCGCCACGAAGGCCGGGTCGCAGAGTAGCACGGGCGGAGTCGCCCAGATGGCGTAGTGGATGATGTGGCCGATCATCCCGCCGCCGCCCCCGAGGAACGAGAGCATCCACGGCGCCGACTCGGCAGCCATCCGCAGCATCTGGTCGCGCCGGTCCCGCGCCTCCTGCTTCTCGGCGTCGTGCTGGCGGGCGACCGCGCCTTTGTCGAGCGGTCCGGTCAGCGCGTACATGTCTTCGAATGTGCAGCCCGACGTGCGGCACTTGTTGAAGTTGCGCGCCGCACCGAGCGCCGTCTTGCGCCGTTTGAACTCGAGCTTCGCTTGATAGGCGGCGAGCGCCCGCTCGCGGCGGCGGATCACGCTCCGCAGCGCCGCGCGCGGCGCGGCGAGCAAGAGGTCGGCCGCCTTCACCGCCGCGTCGTGCAGCCGCCACAGCGTCGCCATGCCGTGATACTCCTCGAAGACCTCGTCACGGACACGGTCGATCGCCCGCTGCAGGTCGTCGCGTGTCGTGAGGATCAGGTGCTCGCCGTCCTCGACGCAGAGCGGTTTGAGGTACGAGACGCGGACGCCGGGGCGACGGCCGGGGCCGGCGAGGAACTCCTTCAGCCGCGTCCGCACGCAGGCGGGGACCTCTTCCTTGATCTTGTCGAAGTCTTTCGATTCCGTGACCGCGACGAAGAACCGCCCTTCGGGCAGGCGGATCGACGCCTTCGACAGGT